GCGTGGGGAGGGGCTCCTTATTTTCATCTAAAGTAACAGACAGAGAATCAGCACTTTGGAAACAGGGCTGAAACAGAGGGGATTATGGGTAATGCTGCAATGATCTGTTTGGTGTTTCAGCCAATCAGAGACAGGTTCTGTATATATCTGAGACCTGTGATATATTGATGAAAAACAGTATAATAGGGGACCTTTAAATAGCCGGTGTCAGCTGTTATCTGCAGCATAGATTTGAAGTGTTATTGCCCTACTTTACCGTATAATTGGATCAGTAGGCCGTTATGTATAAGTGACCTGGAGAGAGGTTCACTTTGCTTATGCGACGACCTCTAGTGGTCATAGTAATTATGACAGGAGCAAATGAGGAATTTAGGTTGGTAGACTGTACATGTGATTAATTTAACATTATGCTACCTTAGTTAAAGGGACCCTGTTATGCTTTTTAGGGCTTTCTCTTTCTTGTAGTGGGTGATTTATAGGTGTGCATGTAAATGGTCTTAAATCTCAAAGCTTCCACTAGAGGGAGTTCCTCTCCCTTGCAGAGATGAAATCTGCAATGTTTTTTCTTTTGTAGGGGCTTGTGGGAAAAGATGGACAACCTGGACCTGCGGTAAATATTCTCATCTTAGACTCATTAAAAACATTTTTCATGTTTATCAAAATGTGTTTGTCTGATATCTGTCTTTCTTGGTTCCAGGGCTTGAGGGGTCTAACAGGAGTCGCCGGACAAATGGGTCCTGCAGGACATAATGTGAGTGCAGAAATAACAAAACAAATGGATACAAAGATAACGAATTTGAAGATGTTGTCTTGTTGCTTGAGACATGGATCCATCAGAGCCTCATTCAGACCAAGCCAACAGCTAACCACACTGCTTTGATTGTAGGGATATTGAATAATAAAATGATAAACGTTGTCAATTGGCATACTTTGAACAATTTATTAGGTTACCTTTTATACTTTAATTGTGATGTCATTGAATTTCTTTGTATTTATCTTTAACAAGTCTTTATTCCGTGTATTATAAATGTATGTATATTTATATATAGTATAATATTTATGTAATTTCTTTACCTTTGCATCGAATGCAGGGTTTACCAGGAAGGCCGGGAGAGAAGGGATCACAAGGAGAGCCTGTAAGTACAAAAAATACATTATCGATCAACTAACATGTCAAATTTTGCTCAAATAAAATATTGAACTTGCTGTATCATGCATATATCACATTCAACTTACATATACTACTTTTGGTACATGGCTAATGAACTTATTCTCATTGAAACCGTCCTCTTTTACTGAAACTTATCAAGTAATTAGGTTTTTATTTTATTTGAAATGCACCCTCCTTGTATGGGAACATTATTTTTAATTTTGAAATGTGCATCTTACAGCATAGAGAGCTGCAGTTCTCTCATTGATTAACTATTGTATTTCCTGTCTTCAGGGAAAGGCAGCTGACCTCTCGGACCTGGATCTGAAGGTAAGGAGGAGCGTTTCCTCCCGTCTCAAATGAGAAAGATTTTATATTGAGAGTAATAGCCTGATGAAATACCTGTGTCTCCATGTTACAGGATGTTTGCTCAGACTGCCCTGCAGGTCCAGCTGGAGCACCCGGTCTCCCAGGAGTCCCCGGAGAGAAAGGACACATCGGACCTCCAGGGAAAGATGGTCAAGACGGTTATCAAGTACGACACGTTCATTAATATTCAACCATAACCTCACATCGCCTGGTAAAGGATTATTAAACTGTCATGGAAGGATTACTGAAATGTTCTACCAGGTCCAGGGGTCTTCACTTACTAACCGTTCCTGAGAAAAACAAACGAAATACCAAAAGAAACCTAAAACTGCTAACAAGTGACAGAAAAAGACTGCGTGTAGAGCCAAACAACCATGAAGGGATACGAAGAGACATTAAAAGATTCACCAAGGCAATAAAAAAAGGTTAAATAACCACAAAGAGACAGAAAACAACTGCAAAGAGACTCCACTTGACTACAAAGAGAAACAAAATGACCGTAAGAGACGCAAAACTACTTCAAAGACACTACAATTGTGAAACTAAATGACAACGAATGCGCCTAAAATGACACACAGACACAAAAGCCATAGAGTGATGAGTAAAGACTGCAAATATACAGAAACAGAAATAAATACATGTGTGTCTCAGTGTTAATTTTGGCAGCTGTTTTTGATTTAGTCTTAGTCTTTAGACGAAAATGGTTATTAGTTTTAGTCACATTTTAGTCATTCCTATCCTTCGTAGTTTTAGTCTAGTTTTAGTCGACGAAAACTCAAAACGTTTTAGTCAACTTTTAGTCGATGAAAAATCACATTTTAGTCAAAATGTGTCTCTATACTCTCTGAATGCTCCTTCCCCCGGCAGATCTCTGTGTCCGCTGCAGCATGTCTGTTAGGCCCCGCCCCCCGCACACAGAGAGACAGGGAGATCGCTCTTCTGGAGTGAAGAGAGCGGAAATAATGATATTGCAAGTTAGAAACGTAAGACGCATTTTGACAGACAGGATGGACAATTGGGGGAAAATATGCTGCATTTTGAATGTCCGATAGTCCACCATTAACACCTTAGTCTCGTCTCGTCAACGAAAACTAAATATACATTTCGTCATAGTTTTCGTTATCAAGAATCTATTTTTAGCTCGTCATCGTCTCGTCTTAGTCATGTAAAAAAGGTCGTTGACGAACATTTTTCCGTCATAGTTTTCGTTGACGAAATTAACACTGCAGGTGTAGTGGTACAGGCCAGCTGCACAGAGAGACGGGAGCCGAATTTAAATGCAAGTGCGTCGGAAAAAGTCAAGAAATTAGTGAAAACCGAAAAAATAAGCAGCA